TCACTGTTGAGTATGTTAGTTGTGGGCTTTTCATATATAGCCTTTATTGTGTTTAGGTATGTTCCTTCTATGCCTAATTTGTTGAGAGTTTTTATTATGAAAGGATGTTGAGTTTTCTCAAATGTTTTTTCTTTCTGCATCTATTGAGATGATTGTATAGTTTTTGTCCTTCATTCTGTTATGGTTTATCACATTCATTGATTTGCAAATGTTGAACCATCCTTGAATCCCAGGGATAAATCTCATTTGATCACGGTGAATTATCCTTTTAATATGCTATTGAATTTGGTTTGCTAGTATTTTGTTTAGGATTTTTGCGTCTATGTTTATCAGGGATATTGGCCTGGAATTTTCTTTTTTGGTGGTGCTGTTGCCTGGCTTTGGCATCAGGGTAATGCTGGCCTCATAGAATCAGTTTAGAAGTATTTCCTCTTCTTCATTTTTCTGGGAAAAAGTGTGAGGAGGATTTGTATTAGTTATTTAAATATTTGGTAGAATTCCACTGTAAGGCCATCTGGTCCTGGGCTTTTCTTTGATGGGAGATGTCTTATTATTGAGTCAGTCTCATTGCTCATTATTGGTTTGTTCATATTTTCTGTTTCTTCTTGATTCAGTCTTGTTAGGTTTTATGTTTCTAGGAATTTATCCATTTCTTCTAGGTTAACCAAATTTTTGGCATACAATTGCCCACAGCAGTCTCTTATGGTCGTTTGTATTTCTGTGACATCAGTAGTATCTCCTCTCTTATTTCTGATTGTCTTTATTTGAGTCTTCTCTCTTTTTTGCTTAGTTGTTCTGGCTAAAGGTTTGTCAATTTTGTTTACGTTTTCAAAGAACCAACTTTTAGTTTTGTTGATGTTTTCTATCATCTTTTTAGCCCCTATTTCATGTATTTCTGCTCTGATCTTTATTCTTTCTTTCCTTCTACTGATTTTGGGCTTAGTTTGTTCTTCTTTTTCTAGTTCCTTGAGGCATAAGGTTAGGCTGTTTGTTTGAGATTTCTTTTTTAATTATTTTTTTTTGATGTAGGCATTTGTTGTTATAACTTCCTTTGGTGATGTATGTGTAGGCTTGCATTTGAAGGAACAAACCCCTCTTTCAGTCTTTACAGATAAATTTTGGCAAGTTAAAGTGTTCTCCTGTTAGGTATTGTATTAGTCCATTCTCACATTGCTATAAAGAAATATCTGAGACTGGGTAATTTATAAAGAAAAGAGGTGTAGTTGGCTCACAGTTCTGCAGGCTGTATAGGAAGCATAGTGGCTTCTGCTTCTGGGGAGGCCTCAGGAAGCTTCCAATCACGGCAGAAGGCAAAGGGGTTATGAGGTGTCTCACATGGTGGGAGCAAGGAGCAATAGAGAGAGGGGGGAGGTGCTGTACACTTTCAACAACCAGATCTCAGGAGAACTCTATCATGACCATGAGGACGGTACAAAGTGGGATATGCTAAACCATTCATGAGAAATCCACACCCGTAATCCAACCACCTCCCACCAGGCCCCACCTCCAACACTGGGGATTACAATTTGACATGAGATTTGGTGGGGGTACAAATCCAAACCATATCAGGTATCTGGATTGATGAGATTGCCTCCAGGATCCCAGTTGAGTAGGGTTGAATCTAGATCATGTTGCCGGTGCCGGGTCTGCAGTGGAGACCAAAGTTAGTGAGCATGGGTCCTATATGGTCCGCTAGTGGACTGGAGTATTTCCAGGATCTTGGTCTGTGGGGCTGGTGCTAGGATGAGGATCCACTTCAGGATTCACAGATGGCAGGCCCATTAACAGGTGTACTGATGGGTATGGCTTCCTCCATGATTCTGAGAGAGTTGCTGCTGGATCACTGGATGAGCCCCTAGGCTGGCCATATTGCTCTGGTCCATGGCTGAGAGGGGCTAGAACAGAGACACAGGATTGTTTCAGGGTCTGCAGCTAAGACTGAGATCTTCAGTCCTGTCTCCAGGGTCGGGGTGGGTGTGTCTCCCGGTGGGCTTCTGAGTGAGCAGGCCTGCTATCAGGCTGCAATTGAGAAGGGTTGGAGTCTATTAATAGGGCTGTTTCAAGATCCACAATGAGACCGAGGTCAAGGAGTCAGCCTTCAGGGACACTGCCAGATATGCCTCCCTCCAGGACCAAGATCCAGGGACTCAGAAGGGCATGTCTCCTGGCGGGATCCCAGCTGGGCAGAACTGCTCTCAGACCACAGCTGGGAGGGGCTGAAACTGAGCTTCAGTGCTATTTCAGAAACTGCTGTGTGACTGATATTGGCAAGCCCAACCTGGGTGGCACCATCAGGCAAGACTCCCAACAGTTCCCTATGTGAGAAGGATTGCTCCAGGACTGCAACTGAGAGGGGCTGGAACTGAGATTCAGGGCTCCTTTAAGAACTACTAGGAGACAGAGGTTGGCAAGTCTGTCCCAGTGCATCTCCCAGTAGTTTCCTGCATAGGGGGAATAGCTCTGGACTGAAGCTGAGACAGAGCCTCTTCAGGGTCTGCTATGGAATGTAGGCTGGCAAGCCTGTCCTGGTGACATAGACAGGCATGTCTCACAGCAGTTCTCTGTGCTTTTGGGTTTGTTCCCAGACTGGGCTGGAGTCAAGCTTCCGGGCCCCTTCAGGATCTGCTGTAGGAAGGAAGCTGGCAAGCCTGTCACAGTGGCTCAGACAGACTAGTCTCCCAGCAGTTCTCTGCGTGGGTGGGAATACTCCTGGGCTGTGGCAGAGAGGAGCTGGAACTGAGACAGGGCCCCTTCAGGATCTACTGTGGGATGGAGGCCAGCAAGCCTGTCCCAGTGGCACATATGGGCAAATTTCCCTCTGGGTCCTTGTGCAAGTAGTACTAATCTGGGACCATTATTGAGAGGGTCTGGGGCCAAGTTACAGGATAGCTTTTGGGTTTACTACCTAGACCAATGTTGGCAGGCCTGTCTGTTGAGGCACTAGTGTGCCTGATTCCTCCTGGACCCTTGGCAAATGGTTTTGATAGCAGGCTCAAGGCCAAATGGGGTCATAGCCAAACCCTTAGAAGAACAGGGCTATTTCCAGGTATGAAGCCAGGATAGCAGTCAGCTGGTCTGCCACCTAGGTGTGGGTCTGCACTCTCAAAATGACCCTCCTAGGTCTTGGGCTCCACTGGGTTTCACAACTTCCTATCTGTATCCCAAGGATCCCACAAAGACACTTTTGTCTGTGGATGGGTGCAGAATTCTTGTTATGGGGGGATATGAGTGAGGGAACCTCCTATTCTGCCATGTTGTTCTCTCCTGTTTCCTGTTACAAGTTTTTTAGCTTAACCTTTTATATTTAGGTCTCTGTTCCATTTTGAGTCAATTTTTGAGTATGGTGTGCATGTAGATATCCAATTTTCTCAGCACTATTCGTTGAAAAGACTATCTGTCCTTTCCCCATTGAAATGCCTTGCACTTTTGTCAAAAGTCAATTGACCATTAATGTAAAGGTTTAGTTCTAGATTCTCAATTCTGTACCTTTGGTCTGTATGTCTGTCTTTATGCCAGCACCACACTGTATTGATAACTGAGCTTTGTAATAAGTTTTGAAATTGAGAGGTAAAAGTCCTCCAACTTTGTTCTTCTTTTTCAAAATTGTTTTGGATATACTGGATCTATTTCATTTAATTTCAGGATCAGTATGAAGTCAGAAACTGTGAAGGGTCTGAGATTTTACCCTACTTGCAAACTAACAAATTAGTTTGTGACAGTTTCACATATATATGCTGACAGAAGATATCAGACCCCTATGTCAAGGACAGATGGTTTATAAGTCATGGGAAAAGCAGCATCCAGAGTACCATCTCACTAGTGCCTCCTTCCCCATGCCCCAGTTCTCCACAGGGCAACACAAATGAGAGCCAGATGTTTACCTGTGTAAGCAATGGGTTTCATCACAGGAGAAAACCCCTCAAATTAGGAGGCACTGAAGTTTATACAAGGTTTGCTGGCACATCTGCCCATCCTCCCCTTTAGGAAGGGAGAGATAATGACTTCATCTTTTCTCTTGAATGTAAACAGATCTTCACTGGAAAGGGGAGTGGAAGGCCTCTAGGTTTATTATCTTGAAATGTAAGCAAATGCCTACTGGGGAGACACAGCTCGAAATCTCTAGCTTCCAAGGCCTTTGCCATTCAAACAAGCTCTTTGTTCAGAAGACCTGGACTGTGTGGAGCTGTGAAATATTCATGGAGAATTGTCTCCCAGCAATCAATTTGTCAATTTCCTAAAAAAAAAAAAAAAAAAAAAAAATCTGTTGGAATTTTGATAGAGATTGTGTTAATCTACAAATCAATTTTGAGAGAATTGCCATATTACTGAGTTTTCCATGATCATGGGATGGATGTCTCTCCATATATTTAGGTCTTCTTTAATTTCCCTTATCAGTATTTTTAAATTTTCACTGTACATGTCTTACACTTATTTTGTTAAAATTATTCTTAAGTGTTTTATTCTTTTTAATACAATCATAAATTGAGTTATTTTTTAATTTCACTTTTGGAATTTTCATTGCTCGTACATAGTAATACAATTGATTTTTGTATACTGACTTAGTATCCCATGACTTTGGTGACCTTATTTGTTCTAATAGTTGTGTGTGTGTGTGTATAAATTCCTTAGGATTTTCTACATGATGATCATGTCATTAGCAAATAAAGACAGTTTTACTTTTTTACAACCTAGATGCTTTTTAATTTTTTTTTACTTGATTGCACTAGAACCTCCAGTACAATGTTGAATAGAAGTGGCAAGAGTGGGTAGTCTTGCCTTCTTCCTAGTCTTGGAGGCAAACATGCAGTCTTTTATGATTAGGTATGACATGAGACAGAATTAAGTGAAATCCAGGGGGCTCTGGAGGATCCAGGAATCACATTGGAAGCAGATAGGGCAGAAACAGTTGGAAGGGGTTGGGAATCAGGTGTGGCTGTGGAGTAAGCTATTTAAGTCTGGATTCAGTCTCTACTAGTTCTAATCATTGGATCTGAACACAGGAGCACATCTGCATTAAAAGATGTCAGACTCAGAGGATCTTCCCAAAGGCAAGCACCAGCTGCATTCACACAGGAAATGAACCATGTTCACTGAGAAACTACTGGAAGATTTGAACAGCTTTTTCAATGAGAACCTATACCCAAACCCCAGCCTTCAGTGGGCTTCGAAAATCGAAATACATCCAACAGTACTGGAGGTCTGGTTCGAGAACCACAGAGCAAAACTTAAGAAAGCAAAATGCAAGCATGTTCAGCAAAAACAAGAAACTCAACAACCATCAATACCAGAGGGCGAAGTCAAGACCAGTGCTGGCCTGAGAAATACAGACACGCTACTCAGATTCCCCAATGCTGCTCATCCTATCGGCCTGGTGTATATGAATCTTCGGGCACCCTCATTCCTACTCATTCTGTACCCCAACCTTAAGGTCCCTACAAATGACTTCCCTGGCCAAAAAATAGTCCATTTTGGCTGCTGCCAAAATCCTAATGTATACTGCCTCTAGCCCATTTGGGAATCCCAAGTTTGTTCTCCACGCTTCAATTCTAGTTCTTCTTCCTGTTCATCTCTACAAAGTTGAGAGAGATGCTAAATACAAAAAATTACATATTGTAAAAACAAAACACTGGTGGTTTTTGTGGATACTCTTCATCAGGTTGAAGGTTGAAGAAGTTCCCTTCTATTCTAAGTTTGTTGAGAATTTGTATTATGAATTTGTATTTTTCTGTGTCCATTGAAATGATCACATGGTTTTTGCCCTTCATTCTATTATGTTCATTTCCACGTGAATTTCATTTTCCTGAACTTTTACAAGGGAAATATAGATTTTATAATTTTATGACTAGAACTCTCCTGTTGTTTTTGTGAAGTGTCAAAAAATATGGTGGCTTAATTTCTGAGATCTCCAGACTCTGTTCCCCTCCCTACTTTTTCTGGCCCTGTTCTTTCTTTTGTCTGTATTGTCACTATCCTGTTCAATTTAGATTGATCAGCAAGTCTCCTCAGTGTGGATCTTTATCCTCAAAGGATGCTTTGGCTGGTTAGTTCTAAGAGCTTGTATGATCCAGACTATTTTAGATCTCTTATATCTTATTGCAGACCATTGTCATGGAGGTTTACCTCTACAGTTTTAGTTCCTGTTCTCACTTTGGCTCTCTAAACTTTCAGTTAGTGCCTTTTGGTTATTTTGTTGTTCCCAGGTCAGTGAGATGCCCTGTTGCTTCCCTAAGCATGTTTCTGTACAGATGCCAGTACTATAGGTATTGTAGCTATCACTGGTCTATCCCTACTTGCTCATATATATCTTTTTACTTTCCAAAACTTATTTTTTATTACTATACAAAATGTGCACTCTCCTCTCTTTTTGTGTCTCCCACCCCACCCCCCAGAGAACAGTACATGGTATGCAGGGATGGCGTGACCAGGAGGCCTTTGTCCTGTGCCCTGCCCACAGATTGAGCTCTGCCCCAGGTCTTTTCAGGCATCTAGATACACCCATAGCCTGTCAGGCTGGGGCAAAGGGGTCCCAACTCACATGTACTCCTTGGCAGAGTTGGACTTAGAGTAAGAGTGAGGTACATGGTACCCAGTTTGGGTCTTATTCCCAGGACAAGAGCAAGAGAATAGTACACCTCCTAGGAGGGCCAGAGAAGACCCTGCCCAGCCAATAAAGATAGCAGGACCAAACTCATACCTAATATTCAAGGGGATCAAGGGGTTGTAAAAGTCCATGACAATCTGATGGCCATACCAGAAGAAAGCTACCAAGTCAGCAAGGCCTGCCATGATGAAAATGACGCCTCTAACCATGCCTATTGTATTAGTCTGTTTTCACACTGCTATAAAGAAATATCCAAGACTGGGTAATTTATAAAGGAGAGAGGTTTAATTGACTCACAGTTTAGCATGACTGGGGAGGCCTCAGGAAACTTACAATCATGGCAGAAGGGGAAGCAAGGACCTTCTTCACATGGCGGCAGGAGAGAGAAAGCATGTGAGAGAGCAGGAAAAACTACCGTTTATAAAACCGTCAGGGCCCGGCACAGTGGCTCACCCCTGTAATCCCAGTACTTTGGGAGGCTGAGGTGGGCAGATCACCTGAGTTCAGGAGTTTGAGACCAGCTTGGCCAACATGGTGAAACCCCGTGTCTACTAAAAATACAAAACTTAGCTGAGTGTGGTGGGGGATGCCTGTAATACCAACTACGTGGGAGGCAGAGGCAGGAGAATTGCTTGAACCTGGGAGGCAGAGGTTGCAGTGAGCTGAGACTATGCCATTGCACTCCAGCCTGGGCAACAAGAGTGAAACTCCATTTCAAAAAACAAACAAACAAAAAACTGTCAGATCTCCTGAGAATTCACTCACTATCATGAGAACAGTATGGGGGAAACTGCCCCCATAATCCAGTCATTTCCCTCCCTTGACATGTGAGGATTACAATTCAAGATGAGATTTGGGTGGGGACACAGAGCCAAGCCATATCAACTATACAGGACTTCTTCACTTTGTCATTTCCCCCAAAACACATGCACTTCATGCCCATCGTGGCCACACACATATGGTCAGGAAGCCCAGCACCAGGTATGCCACCATTAAGGGCTCGAAGGACCTGCATGGCTGCTGGCAGGGCGAGCACCAAGTCATACATTTCACAGCTCATCAAGCCCATGCTCTGCGTGATGTAGTCCATCCACAGTCCCTTGTGATGATGCTGTTGCCCACACATGAGCTCATCTGCCGCTGCAGGATGGTGGTGCAGGCCACAAGGCCTACCCAGCCCAGCAGAGTCATGGAAAAGTTCAGCAATAGCAGGCCCAAATTGGCCATTTCTACTCTCAGAAAAAATTGGGGGTGCTGGGCAGGCAACCCTACAGTAAAACAAATAAAACTTTGGGGCATCCCCATGAAAGATATGTTGGGGTAGAGTTTTTAAGTCATCCAAAGAGACAAAGAAGTTTTTGGCCAGGTGACTGCAAATCTTGTCACCTGAAGTACACACAAATTGACCCCTCTGGTGGAGTGATAGTCTCACAGCAGAGGGAACAGGCCCATATTTTGTGTTTTGAGGAAAACAATTTATTGTCTAGCTTTGTTGTACAAATAACTCTTACTTTAAAAGAAAGCTAGCAGCTGGATAACTTGAACATGAAATGGGAAACCAAAGAACGAAAGTGAGGTATGGCAACCCCTGGGACTATGACAGGTGTGTGTCGGGGGAGGGGGAATCATTTTTGTTAGATCACATCTTTGCACCAGGTGGCAGAAATAATTGGGAATGGAAAGGAGTAAACAAACAACAAAAACAACAACAACAAAGGTGACACTTCACCTCTATTACTTCAACTACTACTTTAACTTACTAATTTGTGTTTTTTAAATTTAATAAAAATTGAGTTACATTAGGGAAGCTGGAATCATATTGCATGCAAGTAGTTATGGGTGGGGAAGAAAGGAGACTAATGAGCTGACGCACTGGTGTTGCAACAGATGTAATTTGAGTCCTTCAAAAAAAGTGCTTGACATTTTTATCATGGTGAGATAATGAGACCTGTTATTATAGTAGATTCTCTCTTCAAGGAGGGAGACCTTGAGAGTGGATTTTACTCACAACTGCCATCAGTAGACAAATAAAATAAGTGAATGTTCATGACCTAAGTACAAGTGTTACTTAACAAGATTAATGAAGTCTAACAAATTTGAAACCAGTAAAAGTCATCTAGAGGGTCTCGGTGGATACTTTTTATTTTATTTTATTTTGAGAGGGAGTCTTGCTCTGTCGCCCAGACTGGAGTGTAGTGGTGCGATCTTGGCTCACTGAAACCTCCGCCTCCCGGGTTCAAGTGATTCTCCTGCCTCAGCCTCTGGAGTAGCTGGGACTACAGGCATGTGCCACCATGCCTGGCTAAGTTTTGTGTTTTTAGTACAGACGGGTTTCACTATGTTGGCAAGGCTGGTCTCGAACTCCTGACCTCAAGTGAGTCACCTGCCTCGGCCTCCCAAAGTGCTGAGATTACAAGTGTGAGCCACGGCGCCCGGTCATTGATTTTAAAAATAAATATTTTAAAATCTGGCATGCCATGTGATTAGAATCCTCAGTCACTAAATCAGGAAATTTCCATTTTAAAAAGTAAAATGTTGGTCTTTTGGATATTTCAAGCCCTCCTCCACACACACTATTCTTATCCCAAGACTTTTATTTCAGCCATCATGTAACATCTTAAATTTCTCCACAAATAACTTTATACTTTTATCTTAAAATCCCCAAATGTTTAAAATCATGCATTTTAAACCTTTTAAAAGTCCTAGTACTCTTAGTAATTTAATGGTGTCCAAATGTGGAAGTGTAACTTCAATTCATTAGCTGAGAATAACTTTTTAAAAATTGCAGTAACTAAAACAATAAGGATTAACAGAAAGCATTTGTGTTGAATACTGAGCTTCCATGATAAAAAGTAGTAGATATACTTCTCAAGTCATTATATTTTATTAAGGACACATAGAAGCAAACTCACATATTTATCAAATATTTTAATGTAAATGCATTAGAAAGCAAATATTTACTTTTATTTATTTACGTATCTATTTAGAGACAGGGTTGCACTATGTTGCCCAGGCCGGGGTGTAGTGGCACAACTACAGCTCACTGCAGCCTGGAACTCCTGGGCTCAATCAATCCTCCCACCCCAGCCTCCTGAGTAGCTGGGACTACAGGCACATAGCACCACACTTAGCTAATAAAAAAAGAGAAAAAATTAGAGATGGGGTCTCACTATGTTGCCCAGGCTGGTCTTGAACTCCTGGCCTCAAGTGATCCTCCTGCCTCAGCCTCCTAAGTAGCAGGGAGGGATTACATGTATGAGCTAATGTTTCCAGCTAAATCTTAATTTTTGAATCAACTTAGTTTCAAATATCTTTCTGACTATCTGTAATATTCCAATTAAATGGCATAATAGCTGGTTTTGCTTTAAAATTTTGGGAAGACTAATTAAGAGTTTTAATAAGGAAAATTAAAAATACATTGCAGAGCGATGTTGCCAAATAAATTGAAAATCAAACTTAAAATTAACAGGCAAGTGCCTCATTAACACCATCAAGCAATTCTAATATTTGAGGAACACAGATGCTAGTTCCAGAAGCCTCCCCTGCTTCTTTCTTTATCCTTCCAACTTAATTTGTACATGTTGTCAATAGAGAGAGATTTATAGTAAGCAGAGTTTGATGAATAAAATTGTATGCTTACTAATATCTGTATCTAAGAAATACTTATTTTACTTAAATCTATTCAAAATTGAGATAACACTGAAAAGGAGATTACAGTGAAAGATTTGTTTTTCTGGATATCAGTCTGTCTCTCAAATTTCTAGGGTGGAGAACCGGCGAAGGAGATGAATGAAATAAGAAAAGAAACAGATCACAAAGGAATTACTGACAGGAGAAAGAATAATACATACCTAAGAACAAAACATACAAAACCCAACGTTATCAAATTCTGCAGTCTGAAGAAGGAGGAGCCCACATTCACAACTCCTATAAACACATTGAATGAGGATCTGACAATGTTGCATTTTATTGTTTAGAGTTATACCTATTGATACTGTTCAAAGGTTGGGATTGAAGGATGTGGAAGAAATAACTTGTCAAAAATATTTGCTGGCCAGGCACAGTGGCTCATTCCTATAATACCAGCACTTTAGGAGGTTGAGGCAGGCGGATGACCTAAGGTCAGGAGTCGGAGACTAGTCTGGCCAACATGGTGAAACCCCGTCTCTACTAAAAATACAAAAATTAGCCGGGCGTGATGGTGGGCGACTGTAGTCTCAGCTACTTGGGAGGCTGAGGCAGGAGAATCACTTGGACGTGGCAGGCGGAGTTTGCCGTGAGCTGAAATTGCGCCACTACATTCCAGCCTGGGCGACTATCTCAAAACAAAAACAAAACACCACATGTTCTCACTT